TTAAGTAAAAAATAATCCTAATCTTATTCTAAATTGATTTATGCAAAAAAATATCTTTTGAAAAAATTGTCAATTTGGTCCCTTTTTGCAGCATATGATCTTCACTATGTTTGTAAATCATATGCCATCTCACCCTCTAATGTGACTAGATGTCCTACACCATACTGATTCCTTATACAATAAAGGCAGGATTGCCAAAGTTAAAAAAATAAAATAAAATAAAAATATTAAATCAAAAAGATTTGTTAGGGTTAGGATTAGAAATTAGAGAATTATTTTTTTTTATATAATATAATATAGAGCTAATATGGTCCCGACTTTAGTTCTCATGAGTTTTCGGAGTACCCGATCCCATTTAGTACATTTTTGAGATCACCAGTGGTGATAAATAGCAAAATTCAATCAAAAATTAAAAAAAGTATGGACGATTTTAACACTCACCAGAGGTGAAATTCACCGGGGTACTGTATCTCAAAACGTACCAAGTAAATAAAGTCAGGGAGGAAATCAGCTAATCTACATTATGTTATATAAAACTCCTCTTTCTGTACCCTAACCCTAAATTCAAAAAGTATTTTTTACAAATATGTTCTATAAATACTCGTATTATATATATATAATATTTAATTATTTATTATTAATATATAAAAATTTGAGTTCCAAGATTTAATTTTAAGTTCGTGTATCAGAAGTGACAAGATTACCAGTACAATAAAATAGTTAATTTTTTTATTTGCAAAAATATTTTTTATTTATGGCAACTTCCGACGGTAGCTGTAAATAAATAAAGAAATTAATAATATTTAATATGACCGTCAAAAAAAATCAATTCTTTAAGGTTAAAATCAGCACTCACTTCCATATTCTAACCAGTTGAGTTATTCCAGTACCTGCAACAAATACATTTACTGACATTAACGCATAATTTATAGGAATAATTTGAGTGGAGTATCTAGACCAAATTACACCAGTGGCTGTGAGGGCTGTTAATTTATTAGTGCAAAAAGAAATTATATAAGAAAGCCTAGAGATAAATATTAGAAATAATAAGAGGAAAAGAACCAACACGTACCAATACTTTGAGACACAGATAATTTTTCTGGAGGACGTTTTAAATCGCTTAAGCCAGCAATGACCAACGCCTAATAATGAAAGTAGTTAGTTAATAACTGATTTGTCAAATTTATTATATACCAGATTCATTGGCATCATTTATTGGAGTGTCAACAATCCGTTTAATCACAAACATATGGCAAAAGATAGTAAAAATCATTATTGAAGATTTTTTAATTGATTTTCGAAATTTTCAAACAATATCAAATTATTAATAAAAAATGCCTGGCGCAAACTTTAATAACTTCTGTTATATTGATTTTTTTTAATTAGTTGATATTTATTCTTTAAGAGTATTTCTATTAAGTAATAACCACATATTTTAAATATTTAATTGTTTTTATATTACGTCAACTAGTATTTATTAAATATATATTTATCAAAGTTCGCGCGAAGACATAATTTATTATAAATCAAGAATTTTAAAATCAATTTACAAAAAATATTCACTAATGATTTTTACTATATGTCTTGCTCTAAGTTTGTGATTAAACTGATTGGTGACACCCCAATCATTTATATATAAGGCCACATAAAAATCTATAAATTGATCCTCACCTAGAGATGCTGGTGAAATTAGTTTCATCAATTTCAGCAATTCACCAATGTGAAATTGTTTTACCATTCTAACTTTACTTCACCAGCATCTTTAGATTCTCACCCGGCTTTTAAATTTTATTGCCAAAAATAAAATTGTTTAAAAATCGGGCGCTTTATGAGAACCAATAACCTAATTTAATATTACCTAAGTACTTACCCATTTCATTAATGGAGCCCAGAAGAAAACAGTTTTTGGCCCTATAGAACAACAATTAGTAAAAAGATAACCCAGGCTCAAAGAAAAAAGTGTTCACGAGCTGCAGTAATTGTTATTACGAGGGTTGTAATAATTACGGCGAGCAACTTTGACAGCAAATACCTGCAGGGTGATTTAGTAGAGTTTGGACTCTCGTCGATAAAGACATTTGTTAACGAATTTAACGAATGTGAGATGTATCCCGCCATTTTTACGTATGTGTTATTGGGGATTATATAGTGACACCATAGTGACACGACACCAGCTTCAAAAGTTAGTGTATATCGATATGAAATGACGTTATCTTAAGGTCTGTAAATAACGTGACAACCCGTGCTTTTTTCATTGGCACGGGATTGTTACCGTACAATACAATAAGTACTTGTTATTGGTATGATAACTGATTATTCACTAAGATACTGTTTTTATGACGTGGACGAAGGTCACGTCATAATGCGGTATCTGCTGTGAATAAATCAGCGATTATCGGCCACAATTTGACCAATAACACGCTTATCCGACATGTCTGGCATAAACACCGAACGATTTTTGTGTATCTTATTCGGCCTCCTAATATAAATCAAATTTTCATTTACCTCTTAAGAGGTAATGAAAATTTGTGTATTGTATTAGAAAAATCGTTCGGTGTTCACATAAGACATGTCGGATAACGATAACTAGCCGTTTTCAAAATTTTGTGGATAATGCAGATCACTATACCATGGAGAATTCACGATATTTCCCAGATTTCCAGTGTTTTTAAGACCCGCTCTAATCGGATTTTTATCTTCGATTCCCACATGGAATTTTTAAGGTTAGTGTTGGAATTTTTTAGTATAATTATTATAATTATTCCACTTACAACATATGTATATTATACTGTTATATATTAAACTATCAACCTATAACAAATCTAATATCAATATAATAAAATTCATTAATATGTATTAAACTGGCCTATTCGAACACATAATAATTTATTTAAAGAAAAAGAAAATTAGGAACATTGCTAGTATAGAAAATCCAAAACACCAGATTATTTATAAATCTGAACGTTTCCTTTTGCTTTTTCATCATATTCAGCACGAACAAACCTATCCAATATTTGTTCGAAAGTATCTGATGAATTTTCGGGGTCACAAAAAAATCTCGCCACAAAAGAATATTTCCACATAATTTGCTTTTTTATGTTTTTTGCATCCAATTCCCATTGAAATTTATCACGAATTGTAAAATCGCCTTTTGTTTCGTTAAGGTGTTGACAGAGTTGAATAGTCTGCTGATCATCTACCATGTAGTCCGAAAGTATCCATCTGATTACTTTTGGTGAATAAAGGTTGTATTTTTGGATATCTTTTTGTGAAATAATATGGTTAAGAAGAGCGTATCGAGAAGGGTAAATTTTAGAATGGAAATTGGTTGGAAGGATTCTGGTAGTAGTTCCACTAATAAGCCATGAAGTATGAACTTGTAGGAAATCAACATTAAAGGAAGAAATATGAGACAGGTTATCAAAATATTCTACATCAGAAATGTCTTCTTCAGACAAAACAACAGAATCTTTAAGATGACATTTTAAAATCATGTCGTAATCTCCTAGATAAGTAGAAATTTCTTCACCAATACCGGGCGTTTCTTCTAAATAATAATATTTTTGAACAGCTTCAACATAATTATGATGAAATTTAATTCTTGCATATCTATAAATTTCTTGGGGAGATGGATCATAGTTTCTAGAAGTAGAATTAGTAGAATTCAATGAAGCATCTATACCATTATGTCTTTTTGCATCGATTCCTATCCATTCACTATACAAGATTTTAACTTGGCGTAGGTGAAGTGGATTACAATAAATCGGTTTTGAATTTGCTATAGGCTTAAAAGTAAAAATTCTAGCTTCAGGATCGAAAGCAACACAATCAAGCGCAATGGAAAACTTGGGATCTTTAGCTTTTGAAGAAGGTCCAAGTCTAACTAGAACTTTAGAATCCGAAAAAGAAAGGTGCTGTTTAATGGCGTGTTCATGTATAGAATACCAATCTCGATTTACTCCTCGTAATAAATAAATCTGTTTTACAGGAAGGTTAGCTAACACATGCTGGATAACGTCATTCGGGAGTGGCGGTGGTGACATGCTTCTAATAAAAGCTTTGAAAGCTTTGACAGTAACGGTAACAGGTAATCTCTATTTGTCATTTTATCCCTAAATTAGAATCTCAAATTTGTGCCATGTGGCATGTCATCTGCAAACTGGTGTGCTACCTGATTCTTTCATGTTAATTGTGCGTTAACCAATCAAAAATTAGCTTATTTCACTTAAAAGTAGCAGATATTACCTTCGCTTTGTTTAAGACTTAACTTCGAGTAATTTGGCATTAAAATGGCAGTAACAACACAGTTTCTTGTCACTGGTATGTTAATCAGTGGTGTATGCAATACTATTCTGAATAAACTTCAAGACATGCAATGTGTTTCTCACTGTGATGATCCGGATCCTTCAAAACATGAATTTTACGAACAGCCCGTATGGCAGACTTTGAATATGTTTGTCGGTGAAACTATGTGTTTTGTCGTTGCTTACGTCCTTTTATACTGGGAACGTTATCAAGAAAAAAGAAATGAAGTGACGGTATATGAGCCTTTAGGGGCCGAAGCAACACTTACTAACGATTCCGAAACAGTAACAATTGTTGAGGGTGGATCTGATGGTTCACCTATAAAAATTGACGATGAATATCGTGGTCCTACCGAAGAAATGACAGGATGGAGAGTATTATGGTTCTGGTTGCCTACAATATGTGATATCATGGGCACTACAGTATGTATTATCTGAGAGGTACGCGTAAACATTTAAATATTGAAATATTGACCATATTCTGATTTTATTTATAGTTTATGAATGTTGGCCTTATTTATACATCAGCCTCAGTCTATCAAATGTTACGTGGAGCGGTTGTGTTATTTACTGGCACCTTCTCTGTATTGTTTCTTCGTCGGCGTTTGTATCCATATCATTGGTTTTCACTGTTTCTTGTAGTGTTAGGTGTATCAATTGTTGGTATGAGTAGCATATTCTTTCCACCTGTAAAACCTGTAGCGCCAGTTGATACTATACCTAATCTCGCAACATCCGTTGAAGCAACTGACGATTCAATAGAAGCGATGGTTGGTGTTTTCTTTGTTATATTTGCACAAATATTTACAGCATCGCAATTCGTCATAGAAGAAAAAATTATGGAAAAATATCGTGTTAAACCAGTTTTGGCAGTAGGGTTAGAAGGAATATTTGGTTTATCTACAGTAACTGTTGGAATGTTTGTATTATATTTCTTGATTGGTAAAACACATCCTGGTGGATATTTTGACATTTCAGTTGGGTTTAATCAAATGATTAGTTATAGACAAATTTGGATTTCTGGCATTTCGATATGTTTTTCTATAGCATTCTTTAATTTCTTTGGATTAAGTGTTACCAGGCTTATTAGCGCCACTGCTAGATCAACCATCGACACTAGTAGAATTGTTTTTATTTGGATAGTCTCTTTGTTTCTTGGATGGGAAATATTTTCTTGGTTACAAGTCTTTGGTAAGTTTTTTTTTTTTTTACTTTGCATGCTAGTTTAAAGTACATGTTTAAAGTGCATACACTAATCATCAATAATTGAATCTGGGGTTTCGTTTTGTGTAATTTAGGATTTATTGTTCTTATTGCTGGAACTTTCATCTTTAATGATGTAATACGTCCACCACCATGTTTCGCTGTTCCACTAAAAGAGACTTCAGAAAATCAACCTTTGTTACCTGAAGATCACGAACATCTCTGATTTTCTTTTTTTTTTTTTTTTTTTGTATATACTGTAGTTGTTTTATTATAGAAAAAAAAATTTCTGTAATGGTAAATTTTTAATATAATATATTTTTTAAACACTGGATAAATTACTATCAATAATAAAAATTAATTGTTGTCGTTTTATATCTGATATATACAGCAATTTTACTTTATGGATACGATGTAACGAATTAATTTTATAATCTTACCCTTTTTGGTGTAGTTGATTATCTAACTAAATTAGTATCGTGATTTTGAAGCCCTCGAAGAAGGCAGTATGTATATTGAGAGGCTAACATGATAGCGTGGTGCCTCTGATTTCATAAAGTAGGTTCCAGAATGTGTTCTCTTTCCAAATGTATAAGTGAAGCATTTATTCTAATAAACAGGAAAACATCGTTTCCCATCATAAAGTACATATCATAATGATTTTCACTCATTAAGTTAACACCATCATTAAGTTGCCCTTATAGAATTACCATGTCCTATAGAATTCTCGTATCATTCAATCCACATAACTTTTAGTAGCGGTTGGAGCTACGCTGCGCATTCATTATGCGTCGCTCTCCCAACCAGCCGTTACAACGACTACCATGGAGCGCGGAGTAACTGATATTAACTCCGTGTTAAATAAAAAAGGAAATCCTGTCCGAATACTGTTTCACACAGCAGTTCGGATTTTTGTAGCATATACTCTTTTATCTTTTAAAATTGCCCGTTGTTTTAAAGTTTTACAAAAAGAAAATGGACACTTTAGATAGCTTAGGCCCTGTTAGTAAAATAGCGGAAGTTGCTGCAAACGTTGGGCAAGCTGTATTTCCACTTTTTGGTGCTATTGCGGTATTATTTCGAGAAATAATTGTTTTGGCCGAGAAAGCAGGGCACAATAAAAGAGTCTGCAGAAGGTTGGCTGAGCGTGTACGTGTAGCAAATCAAACACTCTCACAACTGCTTCTGAAGGACGAAAATGATCTGGCTTTAAAGAATTATGTTCAAGCGATTACGAATTGTAAAGATTTCATTGAAAAGATTAGCAATTCCGGGACATTCATGAAATTAGTTACCGCTCATGAGGTAAAAATCATGAATTATTTATAGATATTAATTTAATTTAGCCATTACAACATTAGCATCGGTTTTAATTTTCTCGCTATCTTTTCTTAGATCGAAACCGCATACAGGGACATCACTGAAGAATTAGATACCGCAATTAATCAATTGGGGCTAACCGTGTGCATTAGGACAAATAAAGACATAGAAGATGATCGTAAGTTATTCCTTTCAGAAATAAAAACTTCATTCCAAGTCATTGAAGAAGTTACAAAAGACTTGTATGACATTGGAATGGATGTTCAACAAAGATTTAGTGTATTTGAAGCCAAGTTAGATACCATTCATACGGCTGTTGATAATGTGAGCAAAGGAGTCATAATAAACAATAAAACTTTGGAAAATTCCAAAATACCTAGTCATCAAATTACAGATACTGAAGAAGAAGAGGTGAAGCGTGGTCATATAGTGAAGAAAACATATATCATGCAGACAGTCGCTCAAAAGGAGATCGGGCATGTTTATTCTTTACAGAAATCCATAGACCTCATTGAAAGAGAGGTTGCTATTCTCACTGAACTAAGAAATTGTCAACATATTATAACATTGTAAGTCAATCGATTTCTTTTTAAATCGTAAAACTTCTTTCTAACAATAACGAATTGTATACTGGTAGTTATGGTACAATGCAGCGTAGCGGTAAACTATACATAATTTCAGAATGGGCAGAAATGGGTGATCTTAACACATACCTGAAAAACCATACCGAAACATGGAATTTCAAACTCAGAATTGCTTCGGAAATAGCTGGCGGCTTAGTTTTTTGTCACGTTTGTGATATATTGCATCACGATATAAGAAGGTTCGATTTTTTAAAACTAATGTATTTGATTTAGACTATTTTCATAATGTTTACTGAATATTTAATAATTTTCCATTTTTAACCTTCAGCCACAATATACTGTTAACAAGTGATCTAACAGCAAAGATCAGTAACTTTAGTTCTAGTCGTAAAGAAAGTGACGTTACAACAAAGGTCAAGGATATCACACTTAGATATAGGTAATTTATTTGTAAATATTCATTTATATTTATGCTCTTAGATACTTATCCTTTATGTGTTTTAGATGGCTCGCTCCTGAAAAACTAGAAAATTATAAAGACAATGAGTATACCAAACAATGTGATATATACAGGTGTAGTTACTTTTTTTGCATGAATTAAAAACCTCATGTTAATTCTGGAAATTCTTTACTTACTTTATTACTGTTCTAAATAAACAATAGCTTTGCTATTGTGCTTTGGGAACTTGCCACCCAAGAAGTGCCTTTTGCCGACGTTACAGTTGTCACAGATTTGATTACAAAGATAACGAGTGGAGAACGCCCACCACTGATAAAGAATGCGCCTCCCGCATATGAAAAAATTATGCAGCAAGGATGGCAACAGCGTCCTATAAAGCGACCAACTGCTGATCTTATGTTTAAGGAATTAAGCAATCTTTTTAAATCCTCAAGGTCTCAAACAGGGTCAGGAGATTTTGGACTCCCATCACCTTCAACTCCTATAATATCTACTAGTTCACGGAGCGATTCATTATCTTCTTTCGACACGCCTCAGAGCGGTAATTCTCAAAAAGATTTTGATAGTATCAGTATTGCTTCAAACTATGAATTCGATAGTATTGATGATTCTGGACAAGTGAATATCCAAATTATTCAACATGACGTGAATGAGGCAAAGAGATTGCACAATGAAAAAAGGTACAAAGAAGCATGGCCAATCTTTAAGCATCACGCTGATAAAGGAAACGAAATTGCAGAGTTTTATGTTGGTTACTATTTAAATGCCGGTGATCGTGGTGTTGAGCAAAACAAGGAACTTGCCGTTGAATACCTTCGTCGTTCAGCAGAAAAAAATGTTCCTGATGCGCAATTAAGATATGGTGTTGCTTTACTTAACGGAGAAGGTGTTGTCAAAAGTGTAGAGAATGATAAGATCGCCGTTGAGAACTTACAAAGAGCTGCAAAATATGGTAATTCAAATGCTATGTTCAATTATGGAGATTTATTGATAAATGGCGCACACGGAGTTAAACAAGATTTGGAAGAAGGTGAACATTGGATGAAACAAGCACATAAAAAGGGTCATCCATATGCATATAAAAAATTAGCAGACCGATATAGAACTTTAGGAAAAAAAATTCCTAATGATATAGAAGAAGGAATACGACAAATCGAGTTAAAATAATTTCACGATTGGGAATAGTTATAACACTAACTAGAACTTGTATTTCTAAAATTTTCAATAGGTCTATATATAAATATTCAATTTCTTATTTATTATGTACAGTATTGGTGGAAAAGACCAAACGATTGATTTGTTATTTTTGGTTATTAATAAAAAATCAAATAATATACAATCACTTTCAAGAACCGGTGGTTCTTATAGTAAAAATTCTAATTTAAAATTTTTTAAGAAATATTTTAGATTTAACTAGAGGTGAAATTCACCAGGCTAAGAATTTTTAGGTTTAGGGTGCAGTTTTAAGATAAAGGAGGAGTTTTATATAACATAATGTAGATTTGATATGTCAGTTCTGGTGAGATTTTCGAGAGTCCTGAACATTTTTACTTAGAATACCCGATCCCGTTTACTTAGTACTGTTTTTGAGATATAGCACCCCGGTGAGGTTCACCTTCGGTGAGTCCTTTTTTTAAATATCAAAATAAATTTTTAATCTAATTACGAATAAGCTTACTTCAAACTGCATACGTAGATATATACGGTAGCCAAGCGAAAACCTGTAATTTCGATTTTTGCCGGCTCCGCTTTCTGATTCGATTCATATATCGATATAGTGTGTTAAATTTTAAAATTTTATGTTATGAGAACCAAAAAATTAACTTCATATGGCCTTATAAGCCAAGTTTTTATATGTGAAATATTCTATCACTCCCTGTATTATCTTTCTAAACTCGAACTTAGTGATCCTAGCCGATAATTTACGGCTGTTTTATATGGAACACTTGAAAAAATTGTCGATAAGTTTTTGATATTAGCCGACATCGATAACTTGTATTTCGACTCGATAATTAAGATGAATACATATAGAGGTTATATTGAAATTTTACTAAAATGTTACGTATACGTATTTGGAAAGTGGTTATTTGCCAAAAGGTTATACAGTATATAAAATTAATAAATTTTAGATAGGTTATATTTGAAATTTGGATAACAAAAAAAAAAAGAGAAAACAATTTTTTTTTGAAAAAGAAAAAAATATTTGTTATAATAAAAAGTGGATAAAATTTACAAAAAGTTTTTATTATATTATTCGGCTATATCTGGTTGTTATTTACAGCTATTTTCATAATTCCTGGAACATCTGATAAATTGATTCGATTAAGTTTGTGATTTCGGCATAATACGTAAAATTCATATATATACGTAATTTAAGATCAGGTAACTAATATAAATATTATTGAATATACTTTCAAATCATCTTCGCTGGAAAAAAACCCCCGAATGGTATTCGTGCTGTATGAATTACAATCCGAGATGGAACTCTGGTTAGATGTAAAATTAGTCTTATGACAATTTGAAGGACTACGAACCAACTTGTATATACAAATCTTCTTTTAGCATGTACAGTACTTCGTACAATATGTTTAGCCTAAAAGTCTAAACATATTCGATCGAAAATTTAATAATGTTGGCATTATTGTTACAATGGTCTGTAAAACAGTCATTATGATATGGTTCATGCCGAATTGCAAACTTAATCGAATCGGCTGAAAAATCATTCGGCCAATTTTTATCAGGTGTTCCAGGAATTATGAAAATAGCTGTAATAAACTTTCTGCTTGCTACGTAGTCTGATTACAGCTGTTTTTTCTTTTTAATTCTTATCGATTCGGTCAACAGCAATTTTTCGGATGTCTCAGAATTTATGAAATACGGTCAAAAAACTCAAACCATATAATGTCAATTCAAAAAAAAAAACTATCCAGTTTAGTCGCTAAATCACTCTTAGGCTACGTATTAGTTTTTTTAAATTGACCGAAAATGGAACATATATTTGGGTTTTGGTTCTTATTCCAAATGAATTATAAATTCCAATTCCCAAACCTAACCTAAATCCCAAACTATTATATATAGTTTGGATTGTCCAAATCTCGACCCCTGGCCGATTATGGTACTGTACGTACGTACGATTTAAAGTCATTTTCCTAAAATGGACATAAAATCGGCCGGTATGGTAAATAATTTATGTCTGACCAAACCAATATCTCAAAAAACTTTTGCATTTGTCCGGGTTTTGCAACAAGTATAAATCATGATCCAAAAAAAGGCAACCTTATTCTAAATTTCTTAATTTGAAAACGAAATAACCATATTTTAATAATTTATAGTAATGTTGATTTAACAAATTTTATTTGTCTTTAACACTATTGACCAATACATTTTGGTTTTGGTTATTATCCCAAATGAAGTAGCAGTCCCAATCTTCAGACAGACCATGTAACAATGCAATAATAAGAAGAATTGGATCGCAACACTACCTACTAACATCACATATAACCACCTCATGATCCACATGATCGACAAGAGTGATAGGAGCTTTTGACTAACCAAACAAAAATAAATTTTAACAAATATATAGAATTAAACAATCAAGAATAAAAAGACCTACCGTAACCATTTGGACGTCTAATTCTATCTCCTCCACTGTTGCCATTTCTCATGCTGTCAGCTGTGTTAGGCTATCATAGTAAATTAGTCAATCGAAGAAACTGATTTAACTGAATCGCATAATGTTAGGTATTGTACAGTACCGAAATTAAACTTTGGAAAAAAAACCAAATAAAAAAATAGATAGACCAAAATGTGTCTTTAACTACTTTTGTAACCGTTCTTTGTTCATGTATGGCACCGTCTTTCATTTAAAAATAAATTATTGAAGTAGAAGTGCTAATAAGCGATTGTGCATAAAAAAAAATTACCTTTCGAGACGTATTTCATTTTAATAGTTGATTTTCGATATGTAGGAGTATGAGTAAAATGTGATAGGTGTGAGAAATTATAAATGTCCAGATTGCTTAAGAGTAGAGTACAAGCAAATTTATACGTTTTTCCCGGGCGGAACAAGAAAGGAAGTCTCCGGTGAGTGGCACGATGGTCACGAGCAGTGTTTAAAATTCAGATCGAAGCCTACATGCACAAATGCAGCTTTAAATTTTATTGGTTGATCTTAACTTGTTCATATGAAAATGTGATTATTGCAAAATCAACGCTGATTGGTTAGTTTATTTAACACAATAGTACCGTATCGCACTGCTTACAGTATCCCCCTCAAATAATATCCTACCACATAAAGTACCCCTTCTCCACCAATGAAATTGCCGGATTCGTGAATAGTACCCGGTACTTCAATTTTAAAAATGGTGTTCTTGAATAAGATCCCGGGTACTATAAGCAGTGCGATACGGTATATAGTAACCTATACCTTACACTTTGAATTTTCATATTCGTATTCAACAAGACCCCGGATTCATAGACCCAAAATTCTTTTTTAAAATTCTTGCTAGTGACAATGTCAGCAGGTAGATTACGTAAAAACATAGGTCTATATATAACATGTAGCGAATGCGGTCTTAAAGAAAGATTTGCATATTAATGCCAAGTCTTTTGTCCAAAGCTATCCAAAGCCTAGCTGCTCTAAATTTGAAGGCTGAACTTAATTTAAACAATCAACTTTGTCATAAACATTATACAATTTAAGCCCATACAAATAGCAAAAATTCCAATAAACAATTTAATAACATAGGTATTTCTAAAAATGGAAAAGAGAAATTTTAATGGTATTTGAAATCCTCTATGGGTAGAAATTCTTATAGACAATTAAGTATTGGAAATTGTTACCAAAATAGTATAGGTGTTTTTAAAGATAAAAAAAAAGTATTTAAGTAGTACTTGAAATCTGTTAAGAGCAAAAATTTTAGTAAACAATTAAATGTTAAAAATTGCTACCAAAATGAAATAGATATTCTCAAAAACAAGAAAAAAGCATTTGAATAGTATTTGAAATATACTAAGAGTGGAACTTTTAATAGAAAGCTAAATGTTAAAACCTGTTATCGAAATAGAATAAAGATGAGAAAAAGGTTTTTAAATAATAGACAATTAATTGTTATCAATATAATATAAAAATATATAGCAACTCTTTCCGATGATCATTTGTACCAAAAAACTTTTACTAAGAAAAAATATAAACAGCTATACTAGACGTGATAAGATGTGCAAAAAGGGACCTTAGGACAGCAACTATCATTTAGAGATAGTTCTCATATGCTATCTTGCCGATTTTTTCAGAGTTTATTACTTACTGTAGCGACAGGCACGACACTTGTCATTTAGAGATAGTTCTCATATGCTATCTGCCGACAAGCTCAGAGTTTATTACTTACCAAGAAAACTTAGTAGTGTGCAAGTTCTAGTATAGCCCTATTTGATTTTAGTAAAAGAAACTCATGCTCTTTTATTTTGTGTACAAGTAGTTTTTTTTTCCTTTACTCCACCTTTCTGCCACTCTTACAAAAATTTTGACAAAAAGTGGACATTTTAGCTTATCCTCTCCAAAAAATCGGTATTGTTTACACCTTCCATTTTTAAATAGACGAAGTAGGACATAAACATGAGATTGTTTTGGCAATAATGACCTACACCACGTGACAAACCAATCGGCGCTCTGGTTAACGAAACAACCTGGACCAGATAGTAAAGTCAGAAGAAATTTTAATGATAAGGCTTAGCTTTACAACAGAGATATACAAAATTTTTAAATTTAGTATATAAATTTTACAACTTGTGTCTGGCATGGGCTATAATAGTGCTTTTATAGATTGTTTTTTTTTTGCCTTTTTCTTCTTGTTTTATTTGTTTCTTTTTTTTCGTTTTTTTGTTGCTTAGGCAGTTTTTTTATTTTCCCCTTTCATGTCGTTCTCTTTATCTTTTTAGTATTAGTTTTTTTTTCATAAGTCAGTTGGAGACTATGAATCCTTCTGCTCATGAAGCTAGAGGAAGAAGGTTTAGAAAAGATGGCAGTCTTGATAAGCCATAAATACCATTTAGTGATGTATTAAAGAATTCATTTGCAGGGTTTTTTGGTATGGAGATAAACATTTACTATAGCAAATCGAATATAGATATTCACTTGAGAACAACCAGATTAGCGAACACTTGTAATT